GAGGCTCTTCATAAGCTGTTATGGCTTCGTGGCCTCAGTCTAGTAAGTCACTTAGGTAGTGGATGCCTTGGCAGACTCCTGGAATCACAATGTACATTTTCAGACAGTTTAATCCTCACATTTATTTTTATTCTTTATTTATTTATTTTTACACATGCAGCCACGTGTCATTATTGTTTTGATGATGTTAATGTCTTTCTACTCAAGATCCTGAGATTATAGCTGACTTTGTCTGATAGCTGGAGTTTGATATTGTAATCCTTTTAAAATAAATCATTTTATACATAACTCTCCACCCTCTTGATCAGAGCAGATATAGAGTATGAAGTATACTTATTAAGGACTGATTCTGCTCAATATTCAACAACAAAATTCAGCAGTGGTTATTAAGGTAACAAAGGCTGCATCCAAAGCAGTGCTTGAAATTATGGTTAGAGATGGGATAAACTTAGTATTCCTTTTTTTTTTCTTTCACAAGATTTACTTTCAACACAAGAGAACATGTGTTATTGATCTGTTTTAGTAAATGACCAAAGTTATAATCTTTATTTCATCTTCTTAATTTTTCAAGTTGTTTATTTTAAATAACATGCCAGTCTAATGAATTGATCTAAAGAAAGGCTGACCAACTCTAACATGCATTATACCTTATTCTTTTAAAACAAAGTTGTTCCTATCCATCTATTGTATTCTTCTTCTTCACTTGAACAAAAGTATCTTGAACTCAAGGCTCCATAACCAGGCTGCCACATAAACCTGAATGACTCTAATAGAAGTCAAAGAGAGTGAACCTGTGTTACAATAACAGCAGTTCTGTTGACAGCCGGCTACCAGCACAGAGGTCAGGGGTGTCTCTGTGAACTAATAACTGTGCTGAAAGATCCTCCTTTCCTGCCTCTGGGAGTGCCAAAGTTGAGGAAAGGTTAAGAATCTGCAGAATGTCCCTTTTGTGCTTTTCTCACAGATTATCAAATTAAGTGCTGAAACCAAAACTCCTTTTCCCCCTGAAGAGATTAGATGAATATCGTTGATATTAACGCAGCGTCACAACTGTTAGACCTCTTCCCTTTAACATGGCAAACATGTACACTCACGCACGGCTCCAGAGAACTCCCTGATCTGCGTCAGAGCAACTCAGCTATTTAGCTCTAGGTTAGCGTCAGAGGACCACTGGTGTTACTGTGAGACATCTGATACACAGACAACTGCACCACACCTATAGGTAAGGAAACTAGGAATTTCCTGGATAATAAAAGAGGTCTATTCTGGGTATTAGAAGGTCAAGACGTTATGCACTTGACAGCTAAACACTTGGAGGGGTGCTGTTCCCCTAGAGTTGACGTGACAAAGAGCTTCTAAGCTCAAATTGTTGCTTAATATAGAGGTGCTTTGAGGCAGGCCATTGCGGTCTGATTTCTCTAAGTTTGGCAAAGCAACAGGTACAATTCATTATCATCGACTTTAGAAGCATTAGCAGTCTCCTGCTTTTATTTATAAAGTCTTCTAAAGACATGCATTCAAAGCCAGGTCCTCTTATCTCCACATTTGCCTGAATTTTTTCCATCAAATATTGACTTCAACCTGTATTTGATTTCTAGATTTCTCCATGACAAACAGGGCTTCATTATTCTTTTTAAATAATTAAAATGACTTCACACGACATTACACACTAACTCACTTGGTTCAAGCCAAAATGAAGACAACTGTGTGATTTACATAATACAACAAAGAAAGTGGCTTTTGAGTCATGATTGACTCGACAGTTCACTCTCATGTTTGATCAAATAAACACTAATTTTTAAAATCTTTTTCATGTATTGCAACAGTTTATTTTAACAATGGGCCACTTCATTGAAATCATGTCTGAGCATACAACTAATTTGTAGTCAATTGTGTTTTGATGAGAAACACACAAAGTGCAGGACTCTCACATCAGGGATGGGGTTTTGGCATTTTCAGTCCCACATGTTCCAGACAACACATGCTGTTTGTGAGAAGCTGGGGAAAGATTATGGTTTCGGATTGATGTTAAGGATGTGAGCATGTCCTGTCATGTGCTGCGAGTCACTGTTGACTTTTTCATTGTCAATTGATGCCTGTAATTTTTCCTCTACCGAAGATATCAAGTGTCAAGATGCTGTGAAAACTTTATCTCGATACTTAAGTTGCGATTAGCTTGCACGGTACCACAGAAAAAAAAAAAAAAATTAGAGAAAAGGCGACGAGTTTTCTGCAGCTTTAGCGAGCAAATGTGTCCTCATTATGTTCCTAAAATATCCTGAGCACTTTTCTCCAAAACATATTTTCTGTTGCAGTTGTGTTAAGATGTTATTACTGAAGGACTTTAAAAAGTTTAAGTGGCGCAGCACGAAACTCTGCCTGTGCAGAACACACTGTTCTGTGCTGTAATTCAATAATGATTGGCTTCTGCAGCACAAACACTGCTATCACTACTGTTACTGATAGTATAATGATATATTAAATAATGAAGATACAAAAACAAGAGCAAACACTAAGCACAGTGGGTGTTATCTA